TCACAAGCAGGAGGGACAGGTCCTGGTCGGTCCAGAGCAGTGAAACTGCAGCTTCTGGAGGGTCGGGCTGAGGGACAGGCACGGGCTGGGCTCTTGTCCTGAAAGGCAGCCAGCACGGGGCCACTCGAGAGCGGGGATGTGCTGAGGAACAGAGCGGGAGGGGTCCTGTGAGAGGGGTGGCTCGACCCCAACAAACCCAGTGGGAGCAGCCAATGATCTTCCTGGCACAGGAGAACCACGAACCCACGAGTACAGCGGGGATCCCAGGAGCCTCTCAAAGTGCTTGACCACCCTTCCCTCACCTCCCACCTAGAATTGCACCCTGGGGGTCCCCAGCGGAGCTGGACAAGCCAGGGATGGACAGAGCGCCCGGGGTTGGGATGCAGAGATTCCCTCCCGCCTCTCCTCGGGGTCCCGAGAGCCTCAGGCAGCAGCTCCCCCACCACTGAGCTCTCCACAGTCCCCCATGGCCAGGCAGACCTTGGAGCAGGCAGCCAGCCTGGCTCCTGCCCTGCTCTGTGCCCACCCAGCTCCGAGGCCTCGCTCCCCTCACACTCACCCGGGCCGGGGGTCCCGTCTCGCTGACCCTCAGCACGAGTACGTCCGCACTGTGGAGGTCTCCAGCCTCGGTGACCCAGAGGCACCAACTGGGAGGGAGCCAAAGAGCAAAGCAATGGGTGACTGCTCCAACCAGCCCTCAGCTCCCCCAAAAACCGCCCCGTTCACTCAGCAGAGCCTGTGCCCTGCAGCCACGTGTCAAGGGCCAAAGGAAGGGGAGTGTTTGGCCAGGCCTGGTGCTCTCAAAGCTCCAGGGTATTTGGGAAGTGGCCTCTTGCCATCCCTATTTCTGGGCAGCTCCCTGTGTCCGGGTGGGATCCTGTCCCAGGCTTCGCTGCCCTCAGCCAGGTGGGAATTGCAGCTTCCAGGGATGGAGTGGGAAAGGTTGAAGAGAAGTTTGACCCAAACTGCTGGATGGGAAACTGTGACATTGGAGCCAACCCGGAGGCAGGAGGAGAGCTGAGCCTGGGGTTTGGAGTTGGGACGTGAAGGCACAACTGTCCAGTTTTTCATTCCCCCCCTCATTTCCAAGCCTGCTGACACCAGCTCTGCTCCACTGGGGATGTGACACATGGTTTGGGACGGGGGGACCAGGATGCCTGGCCCAAGGGACAGAGGCTGGAGCTTCTGCCTCCCTACAGCTCTGGAAGGGACCAGGATACCTGGAAGGAAGGAGCTGTGTGGTGGTGGGGCAGAGCCTGGGACACGTGTGCTCAGGAACAACACCCAGCTCCAGCAGCAGAGCAGCCAGAGGGTCCCTGCAGGCCCTGCCAGTCTCGGGCAAATGGAGCTGGTCCATCCAGGCCCCTTGGGGAGGATTCCAAAGGGCAGGAGGGACAAGGCTGGGCTGCTGCACCCTGACAGACCCAGGGTTACCCCACCAGGCTCAGGCCTGGATGCCAAACCCAGGGTGACACAGCCCCATTTCACCCCCCAGTCCAGCCCATCCCTTTTCTGTGTGGTTCAAAACCAAGAAATAACATAGGAGTGAAAGAACCTCCTGGAAAAAACATTTACAGCAGCCAGGGGCTCAGAGATCACCTGGACTGAGCATCTTGGGTGAGCAGGAAGCCTTTCTCCTCTCCCACTGCCTTTCCCTTTCCCCTTTCCCTCTCCCTATTGTCTTGTCTCTTTTCCTGTCCTTTCCCTTTCCCTTTCCCTTTCCCTTTCCCTTCCCCTTCCCCTTTCCCTTTCCCTATTGTCTTGTCTCTTTTCCTGTCCTTTCCCTTTCCCTTCCCTTCTTTTCCCCTTCCCTTTCCCCTTCCCTTCCCCCTTCCCTTCCCTTCCCTTTCCCCTTCTTTTCCCTTTCCCTTTCCCTTTCCCTTTCCCTTTCCCTTTCCCTTTCCCTTTCCCTTTCCCTTTCCCT